GAGAAGAAGATCATTGGACTCACGGCCCTGATCGGTTGCGCGCTTCTCTGGGCTTTGGGGTCGTATTATGAGGCGCCAAAGAGGAAGGCCGATGATTCTAAGATGGCGACGGGGCAGAATGGCCGATCCACCGTGAAAGCGTAATCGTGTCGTCCTTTTTTTTCTCGTTTTCTTGTACTTTATGTCTTTAGTCGACTTGCACGAGGTGCATCAAGCATGGCGTTTCTTGGGATATGGAAGGGAATGGTTCATTCATAGCTTGGGAGCTGGTTTAGGCTTTATCAATCATCAGCAGTTATAATTGCTTCAAAAACGAGAAGAAATTCTATACATTGTTCTGTATGCTCATCCTTCATTTTTATGTCAGTTGAACAGCACCCCTTTTCGATGTTTGGCTGTTGTTTGTGTTTACGCATTTATCCGAAGTATTTCCATGCAGGTCATTCCTCACATCTCCTCACCGAGCCTTTCACCGAGGTGTTTTCATCCACTCTAAAATCTTGCTGGGCAAAGTCAATGCTTTTGACGACAGTCCATCAACCCCCATACATCCTTCATGGAGAGACGTAGACATCCCGTAATCTGCGAAAATGGATAGCTCAAAGGTTTGTATAGTAATCTCCTTCCGTTCTGGTGCTTCTAGATTGGTCCTTCCGCGGCATACTGTGCTCCTTCTCAACTACATCCCGCGCTTACAACGGGTCCCCTCACCTCACTGTGGCCTCGTGTAAGTGGCAGATGGAACACTGTCGTTGCTCATTCCATCATCCCCTAAGTGCTTATCATATTGCCGCGCTTCTCTCACTCACCGGCACTACGTACCTTGTCTTCTTGCCCACCCCAGCAACCCTCTCGCAAGTTTAATCATACACTCACCTCAACATCGTGATCTTTCATCTCACACGAAAGCTCGTCATTTCCCTTTATAAACCATTATCAGCCCTCCATGAGCGGCAGGCTAGTCATACAAATCCTATCTGCCCGCTGAAGTCAGCGATCATGGACGACATCATCGCCCTTTCCAAAACCCTCACCCTCAACCCCAGAAACCACAACCAACCACTAACACCCTTGGACGACGACCAGATCCCACCCCTTAAAACCCTCACCCTCAAATCCAGGCCCCTAGCAAGCCACGCTCTCACCTTCTCCTGCGACGCCGAACTCGCCGTCGCCGCAGACGACTCAATCCACGTCTTCCTCCCCGAGTTCCCGACCCCAGAAGAACCGAACGCCAAGCAGGATCTATCCAAAGACAACAAAGAAGATGCTCAGGCAACAGCACCAGCAGATGAAGACCCCGCAGGCGTAGCAGCAGCAGCCCTCGCCGCCGCCGCCGCAGACGCCAAAGACGGCGAAAAGCTCTACCGCCAACAATTCTACACCTTCCAGCTCCGCATCCCCACCTCCCGCAAACCCGACCCGCGCATGAACGCCGCGCTCTTCGCCGCCCGAGGCCTCCCCATCCCCTCCTACGACGACGACTGGGCCGCCGGTGAAGCTGCTGCCGGCGGCCCCGGGGAAGCAGCAATCCTGGACCCCTCCTCCGCATTCGAGGGCGTCGGATCGGGCACGGTAACAGGCTACGGCGCCTCGCTGAACCAAGTCGTCGCGATAGAATGGTCCCCCGGAAACCTAGGCCGGAATCTGAGGGCGGTGTTGACCGTGATGCTGACCAACGGCGCGCTCCTCGTCATCGGCGAGGGAAGTGGTAGCGGAGGCGGTAGTACCAGCCACGGCCCCGTCGACCTCGGCGCGCGGATGAGGAATTTTCGGGACTGGCGGATTCTATGGGGCGTCGGCGCGAATCTACCGCTGCCGGACCCGGATGCCGAGGAGGGCGGCGACGAGGGGGCGCATCTGCCGCGTGATAAGGTGAGGTCGTTTGCGTGGGCGAGAATGGTTGGGGCGGGGCAGGCGCTGTTGGCGTACGCGACGGATCTGGAGGAGGTTGTGGTGTTGAGCGCGCAGTATTACCTCCCCAACGAGATGGACGATGCGTCGGATGCTGGGTCGTATGTGTGGGAGGTGGAGGAGGTTGCGAGGTTTGATGGACGGGGACCGCATCCTAGCTTGGGCGTGAGTTCTCACTCTTCTTCCCTCCCCTTCCACGATGTCCCAGAAAATTTTCACCCCTGAAGTCATGTTTGCTAATGCTACATAGGTCCTGGACCCCGATTACATCCCTTACACCTCAGCCTTCTCCCTAAAATGGAGTCCCTGGCTACACTCAGGCGACACCCGAACCGCCATCCTGTCCTACTGCGCGAGAAACTACGTCGGCTTCCGCCGCATCACGATCCCGGCGGACTGGAAGCGCGGCGCTGCCGTCGAGATTGCCGTCGAGGAAGCCGACGTCACGGGCATCTGCACGAACCTGCTCTCTGACGCGTTCGTCGAGTGGGAGGATGCCGTCTGGGACCGAAACGACGTCAAGGTATGCCGGGGCGTCATCGCGTCTCCGTTCAAGGCTTTACCTTTTCAGGTTGCGCTCAACGGGCCCGAGGGCACGGCCAAGGAGCCTCATGGGACGGGGGTTTGCAAGACGACATTTCCTGAGGATACGACGTCTCTGGACGCGACGAATCCGATTACAAGTATGTCCCCTTCAAGTTACTCTAATAGAAACTGAAGCTGACACTGCTGATAACCTAGGTCTCATAATTCACCCCCCAAACCTCTCCAAACAAACCAAAGCCCCAGGCTACTCCCTCATCCGCCTCTCAGCCACAGCGACAAACGACAATTGGTTCCAGCAAAGCACCGCCGACGGCGCCGCCTCGCCCTCTTCAGACTCCCTACCCAAATGGGCCGAAACAATCTCCTCGACCGTCAAACTCTCCGTTCCCGTCACCATGCTCGGTCGCGGCGGTGGCGCCGGCGCCGGCGCGGTAGGCGGGGACGGCGAATCCGTTGCCTCGGGAGACGACTCGGACTCGGAGGACGACGACGACGATTTCGATTTACCCGAGGACGCGGGTGAGCAGATTCACCCGCACCGCGTGCGCATGTGGGGTATGACGATGACGCCTGCGGGCGGGATGAGCGCTGTTTTAGTATCGCAGCATAGTACGCAGAAGCCGGAAAAGACTGTCAAGACGAAGGTCATGTTTGGGGGACGGGTCGGACATGGGGCTACGGCTGCGTTGACAACGGCGGCAGGTGAAGGCGATGAGATGGATGTTGACGGAGCAGACGACGGTGGTAGAGCGAGTAGGTTACAGTACTGGCAGAAGCAGAGCACCGAGGCCAAGATGTGGGATTGGATGTATGCCGGCGGACCTGCTGTTCCCGGTACGCTGTGGGCTGGTACCGGGGAAGAGGCGAGGGCGGGGAATGATGACTCGTTGAAGAAGAGATTTGAGGAGGTGAAGAGGAAGCAGACGTGTGTGTTTTGTCATGCTTCTCTTGTTGACGAGGGGAAGGAGTCGATTTGCGAAAAGGGGCATATCTTTGGTGAGTCTTGCGTTGATTTCTGTTTCAGGGGTTTTCGTTCTCCACTAACGTCGATGATAGCTACTTGCGCTTCAACCGGCCTTGCCATCCTCGCGCCTGGCATCTCGAGAGCTTGTGCTGTTTGTGGTCTGCGGTGTCTTGTGGCTAAGGAGGTGGTCAAGATCGCGCAGGAACACATGGGGCCGGATGCCAAGGTTGATGCGTCTGAGGAGGCGTGTGGTGGATGTGGCGGCAAGTTTGTGGTGTAGACAGGAGAAGCGTGCTTCTCACGATACCAAGGGAGACCGAGGTCCAAATAGAGGTAACCGGTGTAGACAAACTTCAGCCTCGCTGTATCATTGAGGCCCAGAAAGACGGGATGTTCTCCTTGGACCCGCGTGACCCAAGCCAGCTAACCTGGAGGCATCTCTGGGTTCACGTCAAGCCTCACAATGACACATTGAGACGGTTAGGCGGAAAAGGAAAGACTGAAAATAGAAAAAAGAGTCACTATTCATGATTCGAACTCGGAACCTTCAAAAGTAAAAGCCACCGGGGTCAATTACCTAGCGCTGAGGTCGGGAGTGGGCAGTCCCAACTATTACGCCAAAGGCATCTCCTCATCCGATGGGTGACAGTTTTAGCAATCTTCTTACTTATAGACCATAGGTACCCGGTGACCGTATGGCCCCTTCTGTTAAGTACCTAAGGCAGGCAGTTACTTCTCGTTCCTTCCTCCTTCCCGCCTCCAGTTACATCCACTCACGATACGTACCTACCTTACCTTCCTGACCCTTCATCCGATAACCTTTTCCACTGCCCAGTACCTACACAAGAAGCCTTCATATACGCCCCCAAGTCCATTCCTGTCACCAGCCAGCAGGCGCCCTCCTAGGTCGGGGGGTCAGGTCAAACTGGCTGGGTGGTGGAGTGGTCCATGGTCAACAATTAAAATCGCCACCCAGCCTACTCGACGACAGGCTTAGCGCATACGAGTATCACGAGTTCGAGTCCCGGAATGAGCACTACTACAAATCAAAAATTTCCCAGCATGAGCACCAAGAGATATAGCCCCCAGTTCAGCACCGGGGGGGGGGGGTGAACTCTTTTTGGTTCTTGCTTTGATTTTTTGGTGACTCTGAGATTAGGAGGTGAGGTAGCTGGTGTCGACGTTGTGATATCGTCACCTTGAGTGTGAGCTCAGTATTCTCTCGTGTACTTATTCAAGAGTGTTTCATAACAATACTTCTATATCATTGTGTTTGTTGCTGCTAGCTACTGTATTAATTGACATGAGTTTCGGCCATGTCTGCTCTCGGTCTACCTCCTAGGATTGTCGACGGTCCTCAAGCTTCGACACTTTCGTGACAAGGCGTGAAGATGACTGGCCGATCTCCTTCACCAAAGGTAGATTTAACGGCCCCTGAGTACCCACCCCATCAGGAGCACCAGTGCGCATACGATTGCCTCTCTAATAACCCCTACTGCCAGTGTTGCCATAGCAGCCTAGATTGCCATTGGTATCAACCCAGACCACGTTGGCTTGATAGAGAAACCCGTCAAAGTCAGTCGAGAGTGAGCGTATAACCAGACAGAAAAGTGCGCTTACAGATGCTGACCTGCTTGAACGCAAGGAGTTTGTCTTCCTTGTGGGCCGGATCTCCGCGCATCCAGCACTGCAGCGTGATATTCGCTGAAGGTTCTTTCCCTACCGGCACGGGCGGCGGGTTCGATATCGTGCAGATTTCACCATTTGAACCGCCACTTTTCGTTTATTCACTTTGCGTTAGTCACACATCATCTCGCGTCTCGTTGGAATAGGTTACTCGAGGATCGGTCAGGACTTTGGGTTTTGACTCACTTTTCGCGCGCGACGAGTTCGCCTTGATCGTTGGCCACGCATTTCTTGAGATCGAGCTTGCTCGGCACAATAGTGTTGTTCAACGCTTTGCTTGGACAGTCAGCGAAGAGCCAAGTTTCGTTGAACTGGCGATAGTCCACCGCCGCTCTCCACTGATTGTTCAGGTCGAAGTGGGTGCAGTTGCCCAACACCGTGTGCGCGCAGGGAAATTCTCTGTGACAAGCTGACTTGTTGTCTTCAGCGGTCGCTGCGGCAATGACGGCGAGACTGGCGATGAGATTGAAGAGTTTCATAGTTGCGACGGACTTTGTTGATCGAGCAGGATGGCTTGAAATCTGAGAAGCAGAGGCAGCTTGAAAGTTGACAAAGGCTCGTATGCGTAGCGTGGAAGTGGAACGGAGGTTTTAGAGGTCAGTAGATGTGCGCGTCCTAGAGAAGGTTTGATGGCATTAAATACTGGATTCGCGGAGTCTAGACGGTATCGACTTAGATACTCTATGCGTGAACCAACAGCGAGAGACGTCAAAAGGAGGCTGATCATGAACAGTAGATAGTCGAGAACTGGCAACAAGCAACGATGAAACAGCCCCCGACAGCTTGGGGTCGGTCTGGGCATCGTTGGCATAAACCGACCAGCCAAAGGCAGGGCAAACTGCGAGTAGGGGCATTTGGCCCTTCGCGACAAGGCAGTTGACCACTCTCGATCACTCGTTCTAGAGTGCCAAGATGGAGCGTGAACGTCCAGATAACTTCAATAAAGTAATAGCAGCATTTTCTGGCAGATGATCATTGCGGCTCATGTTTGCTCCGTATCTCCCCGGCAAGGACCGTTGAAAATGATGGGTCACGCGCGCGTCTATCCTTTCCGCCAAACTGACCAATCCCCCAAACTTGAAGCTTGTTCATACATAAAGAATCTATGTTGAACAACTTTATTACAACTTGTTTGTTAAAAGTCTATAATTAGCCGCTCGCCAACAAGGGGGCTCGTTTGGCGTCGAATGTTCCTTTGTCTTTAAAAGTGTTGCTTGGGTTGCTTCGAAAGCTCTCTTCTTTCCACCTACTTTATGTGATTGTATCTCGCGATTTGGGACTGAAAGACAATTACTCGAACATGCTTTGATGTTTCGAATTTGTGCTTAGCAAGTATGCAGTCCTCGGATACCTCTTACAGGTACTCTCGCGACACCGGCCTCATGCTTCAATCATGAAGTCTCTGAAATTCCACTGTATTGGATGAGATATGAACTTTCTTACTTGGTCCAACGAATGTGAGTTCAGCTTGGCGCCGCAAAGTAATTCAACGTCTAGATATGGCTTCGTACTTGGGGTACATGAATCGACCCCCAAACTCGTGATAAAGCCATGTCTCCCCTCTACGAGGCAACAATCTTCCAAGGACTGCGCGAGAACCGGTTCTCCGGATCATACTTGCCCTTCAACTCCACCAACCTCTTCGCATTCTCTCCAAACCCTTCCTTGACACCTACATCGCTGCTCGCATAGTTGTTGTACTGTCCCACACCGCCCCTCTCACCAGTGTGATTCTCCCCTTTGATCTTTGCCGCCAAAGACCGGTTCCAGCCCCTGATCATGCCGTCCTTGGCTGGGTCCGTCCAGCAAGTCAAGACCATGCAGTCAAAGTACGTTCCGCGGTTCGAGTACGATGTCGCCCCGAACGGCACGCTCACCACCTTGTCCTTCCTGTAGATTTCCACAGCTAGGATACTTCCCCGCATGTCGTTGCCCTTGGCCGTCTCCTCGTCGACGCGCGAGTAAAACTCGCTGCTCATCTCTTCCCATTTGGCTAGCTCGAATGGCGCGGTGAGGTTCGTTCCGCCCATCAGCCGTCTTGCGCCGGGACCCTGGAGCTCATCAAGGATCGTGTTGGCTGTTGGGTAGTCCATCTCGGCCGCCATGTTCACCAGCGGTCCAACGTCAAGGAGTCCTTTGAAGATGCCCTCGGTCGCCTCCTGTGCCGTTCCATTGTGGAACGGCTGCACAATAATCATAGGCTTCGCATCTGGCCCCGGCGGACCATAAGCAAATCCCATAATGACATACTGCCTCCCATCCATCCTCTCCACAAACTCATTCGCCCAAGTAACCAGCTCAGGCAGCTGCGAGCTAGCAAACATCAACGCCCCATACCACACCTTCCCCTGAGGAAACACCTCGGAAGTAAACCTCGTAGCAACACCAAAACTCGCGCCCGCGCCACGCAGCGCCCAAAACAAGTCCGCATTCTCCGTCTCGGACGCAGTAACAATCGAACCGTCCGCGAGAACAACCTCAACCTCCACGAGACAATCGACTGCGAGGCCGTGAAGCCCGCTCAACAGCCCCTGTCCGCCGCCAAGCACGAGCCCGCCGACGCCCGTGTGCGATACCGTCCCGCCGACGGTCGCGAGGCCGTGCTTCCAGGCCGCGGCGTCGACGTCCTTCCAGGTGCAGCCGCCGCCGTAGGTGACGAGGCGTTTTGCGGGGTCGACTGTCACGTCGCGGAGGTGGGATGCTAGGTGGATGACCATCCCGCCGTCTGAGGATGAGGTTCCTGCGGTGGAGTGGCCTCCGCCGCTGGTGGTGAAGGGGATGTCATGTTTCGTGGCGAAGCGGATTGCTGCTGAGACGTCGTGGGCTGACTTTGGCTTGACGACTATGCCCTATGGAGGCTTCAGAGGTGTTCTATACGTGCTGGGCCGAAAGGGAGTTAGGGTGGAGGGGCTTACCGCTGGTTTGATGCAGACGATGGACCATCGCACGAGGCTGTCTTCGTATCCCTCATCGCCGGGCAGGAGAACCTCGCCGTTGATGTCTGCCCTCAGGGCCGGTACTTCTTGTTGCCACGATGTCATATTTCTTGTTTATGATTGTGGATGAAGAAGTAGGTGAAGTGTGTTGTATCTTTGAGAGTTGTGGTTGATTTTAAGTGTGAGACCCTCTCAGTACTCTGTGCAACAGACGGGTATGACAACGCCAATCACCTTACAAGTTCCTCGTTCCGATAAATTAGGCAGAGAACGAGAAACACAAACACCATGGATCAGCATGATTCTGTCAAATCATTGGATGCAGCGTCAAGCAGGCCACGAACTCTCGCCTGTCAGCACTAAAAAGGGAACTAAACGGATCCTTTGTGGGAGGTATATTAGTAAGCTTGCGGACGGAGAGATGTTGTTCACTTGCGGATGCTGGTTTGCGCCAATGACTCTTGTATAGAGGATATGCTAGATAGACAGATGTCCCTAACTATCAAGCAGCTAGATTCCAAAGTCGAACCCCTAAGATTAGAAGATCCGTCTGTCCAGTTTACTTCAGAAGCGCGGGTGTAAGTCAGGAATGTCAGGTACGGGGAAGAGTTGAAGTCTAAGAGACTCTTCGAGTTCGTGAAGTGTTTGACAGCTGGCCATGGCATTTGGCAATAGCACCTCATATCCCGGATTGCTAGCCTTAACGATACGTTCCACATGTTAACGTCGATAATAGCGATGGTATTGATTCTTTGCACTGATTTTGTAGCCCAATGTATCATCAATCAAGCTTGTCTGTACGAGCAACTTACAGCTCAGCCAAACTCTCCCCCTTCACATTCACAACCCTCACCTTACCCCCACCTCTTCTCCCAGAAACAACATTAGCCTCACCCACAACCCCCTCCGCATCCCACCCGAAATCAACAACCCCGCCACCCCGGATCCGCAACCCCTTCACGCTCCCGCCGCCCCACCTCGCCGGGATAGCGGGCCCGAGCACCACCGTCCTCACCTCATCCTCCCGGGACCCATGCGGCAGCGGCAAATCCACAACAAGCATACTCAACACCGCACCGCTCAACCCGAAGTTCGCATCAATCTGAAACGGCGCTCCCGTCCCAGAATACATACTCAGCCCGTTCTGCGCAAAATTCACGTCAATCGCGTACCGGAGCTGGTCGTAGGCTCTTTCGGTATCGTTCAACCGCGCCCAGCACGCCGCCCGCCAGACTTTGGCCCAGCCTGCGTTCGCGTCGGGCGCGTTGCCCCTCCCGCGGGAGTTGAGCGTCTCTCGGACGGCGGACTGGATTGTAGCGTTGGAAGCGTAGCCGCCTAAGAAGGAGGAGATGGAGGCACCCGGGTACCAACCAGTCAGGTGGGACAAGTGACGGTGCGTAGACGGTTTATCCGAGTTATACGGCGCCGACTCGGGGAGTTTCCATTCTTTGAGGCCGCCCCATGTCGCGACGTGGACGCCTTTATCCAATTTCGCGAGGGACTCGGAGACGGAGTCCAGGAACGTTTGATCCTCAGCAGAAGCAGAGGGGAGGACGGATGCCCCGAGGAGGACGTACTCAAAGACTTGGTGGATCATCTGGTGGTAGTGCGCGCAGCCGAACGTCGTGGGGCCGGTCTCCGGGCTGTTGCAGGGGTTCACTACCAGCGTTCCGTCGCGGGAGAAGGCGTCGTCTTGGAGCTGGGTGAGCCAGAAGGCGGCGACGCCCTTGATAAGGGGGTAGCCTTGGGAGGCGAACCAGGTTGCGTCGCGGGTGTAGTCGTAGGCGTCGAAGACGTGTTGCATCATCCAGGCTGCTGCTGCTGGGTCTTTGGTGGTGTTAGTCGGTTCAAGTCTGCTATATAGGGAGGGAGAGAAAGAAAAAAAAAAGGGCGAGGGGGGATAGCAACTTACAGTTCGCCCACTCCGCGCCCTCCTTCAAAGCAGTATGTCCAAACACATTCATCTCATTATGCACAACCCATCCACTGGCATTATATATCAACCTCGCCGTCTCCGTGCCCCTCGGAACCCACGTATCCTCCATATAATCCCATAGCGCCCCCTGCGTCGCCTCCCCCAACCCCGTCTGGTCCGCGTGCCAGTAGTTCATCTGCAGGTTAATATTGGCGTGGTAATCCGCGCTCCACGCGGGCCAGAGCTGCTCCGTCCAGCGGCCCTGGAGGTTGGCAGGTAAAGAATTTGCGCGGGAGGAGGCGATGAGGAGGTGGCGGCCGTAGTCGAAGAGGAGGGCTTCAAGAAAGGGATCGCCGCCGTTGGGTGTGGTGGAGTCGTAGGAGGCGATGAGCTGGGAGGTTTCTGTTGTAGTGGAGGAGTTGAGGGGGTCCGGGAGGGTGAGGGTGAAGGCGGATTGGAGGGTTTGGTAGTCTGCGATGTGGGAGGATAGGAGATTGGAGAAGGACTTTGACGAGGCGGATGTGGAGATGGATTCGACTTTGGGGCCTGGGTCTGCGCCTTTGAAGGAGTAGGAGGAGGCTGCGTTGCCTTTCTTTTGGTCGTAGTTCGTTTCGGCGCTGATGATTAC